CATCCCTGTGGTGCACTGATCCTCAAATTTCATACCCCAAGTTATCCAGCGTTTACCGCACATGCCCTAAAAGAGGAGCAAAGCTGTTTCCCGCATCGCGTCACTGTTTTGTTCTACTGCCCATGGGTGAGATAGCAGATCCAAGGCATCTTTACAAGTACCATCAAACAATGGCCACCAATGACCAGTCACAGTATGGATCTACTAAGCGTTCTGTTTACCGAAAGGCAATTTGATCCAGTCAATACCCAGTGCGGTATAAGTGGAGACTCGTAAAGTTCTTATTTGGCTGCGCGAAACGAATATGCTTAGGCAACTGCTTGACCCATGAGCTTACATTATTTACAACAACACTTATGGACAAAGACTTTCATCGAACCTTTGTCGAAAGACGCAGTCAATTGCGGGGACTGAGGTGCTTGGTATCCATAGTAACTAACAAGAAGCTTTACCTCGAGTTACGTTTCGAAAGGGGTTTCAATGCATTGGGGACAACTAAGCCTTTAATCTCAACTACGCAAAAACTTTAGTACACTGATTTAATTGTTGTGCTCAGCTGAAACCGAATGTAGCTTGCCTTTCCAAGGAAGTGATCTCAGACTATCACGGCTAACTCTCCCTGTGTACATCAACTCGTGTGACTACGTAGCCAGTTACATAGGCAGAACCCATAGGACTCTGACTTCCCGTATGTACCGACAGGGGTTCAGTGTGAAGTTAACCATTGTCTACCCCCTCAACCTCTGTGCTCGCATAAGCGTCGGCTTCCACGACAGGTAAAAGCCTACTGGTGTCGGATCACCAGATAGAGCTCAGATCAGCGTACGAAGTGGTGCTGCGTCACACCGAACCCCAACTTTTTCGGTTTGCCGAGATTGTCACATGAACTGGGTTGAAGCCAGACCTGTGCACTAAAAACCACCATTATTCGTCAGCTTAAGGCCGAAGTTCCATCGTTGACTCTGCATCTGAATCTCAGCTGGTCTCAATTAATGTTAGCTATAAATATGCATATCTGCGTAGCAGTCTGGAGATTTTTCCTGGTGGCCTATGTAATATTCTAACAAAAAAGGATATGTCTTCGTAAACTATGAAGACCGGTGCGGATTGTTGAACTGTATGTTGAGTTCAAGTGCTTAATTCGTGCACTGCTTTTGCTTGGTGATCGTTCAGTTTGCAACACGCAATCGTTCTGTGTTACGCACTGTTTTCTTTCGGTGCCATTTTTTATAATTACCATACGAAATAAAAGCTTCCCTGGAAGTTGGGCTGCTTTTTGCTATCGTTAAATAAGCTTCCGATAAACCTGTTGTAAAGACACAGGCGTAACTACGGGATGCACGCATTTACCAGCTTTCGTCCTCTAACTATGCTTTTCAAATTATACGTATATCGGCATATTTAAGAAAACGGAGCCAGCTCCTCGGAATGCTCCTCATAATTAAAAGAAGACAAATCCTTTATGTGCAACCGATATCATTGCAAATCACCAGCATGGCCGGAAAATTCAAACCAGGAAAGTGTGGGCTTAAATTTGTTGACTGAGTCAATGCCGAACAGTCCTAAACTTTCGTTCAACACCATTCGTTGTCAACTGTCGAAGCGGCTGCGAACGACCGCCCGACCCATGAATTTCCTTCACCTGCTCACTTGGAGAATGCTGCTTAGGCGTCAGACTGATTCTCTCAGTCAGTCACAGTCTAATTTGGGGATCTTCTCCAGTTAAGCCCCGCCATCCAAAAAAGATTATGAAAAGGGAGGATATGGAACTTGAACTTTTACTCTCTATTGAAGAGGGTGAAATTGAGACAAGTCTTTAATATTTTGCATGAAAAGGTCCATTTTTCGGTGTCTTTGCCTCCAAAGGAACTTACACAGGTAGCTGTCCACTAAAGATCGGTGTGTGCCGCATTGGCGCTTATTCTGCATCTTGTAAATGTGCCAGAGAGATTCGATGGTTTGTGTGTGAGCTTCAGTCGTTGGATCCACAAAGTTTTCGGTATGATTAACCGTTTGATGAGTATAACTCATGCCAACCATCGATTCAATGCCTTGGTATGATGCCCACATATCGGAAATGATAATTGAGCCGGGAGCGATGCAGGCCTGGATTGTGTCCAGAAGAGTGGCCGCAGTTCGATCTGGCACTGCATACAAGAACACTTCTTTAGTCTCCCGGCAAATCCATCCGAAAATCCACTGCTGGGGAAGGACTCACCTAGCATGTTTTTTACGACGTGAAATTAGGGTTTCATCGATCTCGACATGTAGACCTGGGCCGCCGACAATCGTTGGAGTCTGCAAAAGCTGCCAGGCGCAAATTTCACGCAGAAAGTTCTTCCAGTCGACAGCGGTCGCGTGACCAATAGATAACTCCTCTGAGCAGAATTTGATTGTTGTCAGATTTTTGGACCAGCAATAAATGAATAGGATTATTGTCCTGAAATCCATCCTAGACCGCTCCAGCCAAGTTCCCTTTCGAAGACCGATTTCCTGCCGACACTGTCCGGCATCACACCTCCACCTGTCAGAAACAGTTGAACGTGTCATTTGGTGTCCTCGTCTGCATAAACGTTGATGATGAATCACTCCATGGCTTTGCAAAAAACGTATTGCTGTTTCCTTGTCATGAACGACCGCCGAAAGCGTCAGAAAGTTCATGTCAGGTTTTACGTGCGAACGTAGAAACTTTTTGGACAAAAATGACCTTAGAAGCGGATAAGGAGTGTTTTTATGGGGCACGTTCACATGCATTACGTACACTGGAGCTGGCAAACAGTGGCGGGGCTCAACATTACACGCGTGCCCTTTTTGCACTATTGGTGGGGCTTGACTTTTCAGGTGTACCCTTTTTGCCTTAGTGGCGGGGCTTAACTTTTTGCGCGTGCTCTTTTTGCATTAGTGGCGGGGCTTAACTGGAAAAGATCCTAATTTGGTCCCTGATTGGGCAGGCCTTCATAATATGGTTGCGTCTGGACCACGCGCCAGGGGCACGGGTGCAACTTTGCTAAACCCACTCCTAGTGCATGGTCCGCATTGCGTGTTCTCGTCCCCTTATCCGGACGTACTCCGTACAAGCCACGGTATAGTTCCAGTCTTCCGGGTGAGCGAGTCGACAAAACATCAAGTGAGCCCTACTTCGCAGTTCAGTGTCAATATTAAGTGGTTTCCTGACCACGGTGCACTCCACATACCTAGCCGTTGCCTAGATGTGGAGTTAGCGTGATTCGTTTGTTTTCCTGTTCACGAACTACGTTGTGTCAGCCATGCAGTTAGACTGCATGCTCTAGGATATAGCGAACTATTACAAGGATAAGTTCCACGTTACATAAAAATGGTTAATTCAACATGGCCGAATTTATGGCGGAGTAAACAAAGCCTAAAAATGGTAACATAGTTCTGTGCAAAAACATTTATAGGAAACATTCCTCGAAAGTCGGAAAACCGGAAACCATTTCCTTCCCACCCCAATGACTATCGGGAGCGTTAAATCTTTTGCTTTGCATTGCTCAACTCCCAGTCGCGAATTCATCCGGTATTCGTCAGTCGAACTTGACGCCTGGTAGAATCATGGCTGCTAATATCTTGTACCTCCTGATAGTAGTAACGTCGAAACGCATGGTTCAGCGGATATCAAATAATTTCGTACTAGGAACAAGAGATCCGATACTGAATATGCATAAACAGCTATCCAGTATACCACAGTCCACTAAACTCATTGGCTCCAACATTTACTGGATAAAGTTGACAAGATAACATATTTTATAGAGATCTATTTCTGTGCCGTAAACCACGGTTTCCTAAATGATAGGATACTACCAAGCAGTTCGTAACAGAACTCCTTAGATAACCTCACATCGAAACGTTTGCATCTTTTTTCATACACACCCACAGTTTCGAAGTTTGGTGTTGACAACTAATTCGCCTATTTTATTTGTTTCGTCGCAATTCTATTCTATTATATGCCGCAGGTTTGAGCTAGCAATCCCATTAACCATCAAAACGTCATTGAGGCTCTTAAGTGGTGTGCATTCCCTCGGTGCCCTGCTAGGGATCGAACCTATGACCGGTAGAGGATAGAACCAAATATAGAGCAGCTTATGCCACTGAGCCATGGGTAACGGTTGCTGACCATCATGGATTTAAATCTAACTGCGATATAGCCTGACCCATCCTTCACTGCCATACAGGGTACTGCCAGTGTAGAGGACAATGGTTGGCTGTCCAGGTCAGGGCTTCCCAAGCCAGCATTTTGAAGACTGATAGGGCTTAGTTTCTGATTACTAGAGAGTAAATGGCTTTGGTTAAGGAGGATTTTCCGGATTGGTTTCTCAACTTTGCAGGTTGTAAAATAATTACGATGAACTAAATAAAAACAAATCCATTTCCGTCTACTAACTGATAATGCGCAGATGTGTTTATTTTCTGCGGCTAATTGCCTCCGTTTAACAGTGTAAACCTACAGATTCAGCACCATCTATTAAACTTTGCTTTGTTGCATTACATTAACTGCATTTCCATTGAGCTTACCGTCTGAACGATACTTGTGGCTTCAACTTAGTCAAATTCTGGTGAGTTTTTTCACTTATTCTTAAGTCGATAGTTAAGATTGTAGACCCACGGCTTATTAGCATAATTTATTCCGCTTTGTTTAGAGACTGTAACAAATTTGTTTATACTTGTGTTCATCTCTAGTAACTACATTTCAAATACAGAAACTAGCGGATTCAAATCCTGTTTGACACACATATCACACTCCTATCCAGCATATCGCCTGTGCTATATTTCTATTCTTTGCTCTCATTCATACATACGGTCGCAGGCTACACCTGCGAGTGAATAGTGTTGAATTAACGCTCTAACGACTAGTTTCCTGCTACCGTGAATTATTTTGCTGGCATTACGAAGTAACCGGATTTGGCACCCTTACTAACTCTGTTATTTTCCAATGGTGAGAGAAGCATCCTTACAATTTGTAAACATAACCCTCCTGCTCTGTGTTATGCCGCAGTACGATCTGTAAACTGCATGACGCGCCCTACCGCAGTAAGAAACATTGTTCCATCGGTAACGGGGATTGCTTGGCAACCGGTGTCCTGTCTAAAAACTGGTTTGTACGACACAATTTCCGATTCAGCGTTACTTACTTTGTCGAACGAATCCTTGAAGAAAGTACGTTCGATGTTACTTTTCAGATGAAAGCCATAAGGATCCCGGAAACTCAGTGTGACCACATGTAAAACGATCAGAAAGAGAAGGTAGAAAAATATTTCGCGGATGATGTCGCGGGCACGTCGATGTTTGATCCTGTAATCCCGGGCGCGTTCCAGCTCTTCCGAACTTGGTGTCTGGATGGCCAGTTTGTGTGGCGCGTAGTTTCTCTTCACTGCAAGAGGTAAGCAATAATCACAGCATTTATAGCTCAACTAGCATCTAAAGCTTTAGTCAGCATGCAGTCTCGATTCATACTAGCTCATCGAGTAATACAAACTTTATGGAACAACAAATTTTTCCAATGGGTCGCGATAAATTCCTTATTCACTTCGAATATTTCCTAAACTGCTCTTTGCCCCTGCACGCGATAGAATTATCATATCTACTTATTTCATCTTTGTTACCCGTGAGCTGATCAAGTCTTCGAACCAGGTGGAAAATAACCTACGACACATTTGCAGAGCTACATCAGACTAACCTAGTCCCCTATCAGCTGGACCGTTTCTCAAATTCTTTAGATCATTTATATCTCAACTAGATGGGTGAGATAGTGCCAAATGTCACTGGTATTCCAGTCAGTGGTGTTTCTCTGTAAGTCTTCAAGAGATGATCCATTTGAGTTCTCCGCTAAGGTATGGTTGCAACAACTTCGGGCACGGCGCAGCCTATAACATTAAGTAGTAACTCTTTTCCGGCAAGCTAATGTGTCCATAGGTCACGTTAATGAAGATGGTCGTAACTAGTACTATACATTATACAAAGCGAAACCGGTAGAAAGCAGCGAGGAAGCTTGTCAATGTCGTCTAATCAAGTCCGGGCAGAATAATGGCAGTTCACCTGCGAAGTTGCTGGGAATACTCCCTAATTTCTTAATGTGTGCCTGTCACAGAGGGTAAAGTTCGAAAATGAGAGGGTTGATGTGTTCTCCGAGCTGAGTACAATGAACAATGAACAATGAACAATGATTTATCACGAGATAAAAGCAAGTGCTTGACATGTCCCGTAGGATGGTAGCGGTGAATATGATGCAATTAAAATATGTGTGGGTCATCTATCGAACGTCTGCCGAGATGAATACTTTGATAATTAACATCAGTGTAAAAGGAAAAAGAAATATCGCGCGTAAACATTCAGAAAGACAGTGGGGCGCTGTGATAGTTGAGGTAAGGAGTGAGAAACTAAAATATGGTCGCTCACTTAGGTCCATTTGATACATTAGTCCTGTTGAAAACATGCTTGGCGTAATCCACAACAGAGGAGCTTAGGTAACAAAATGTTGGGAGCTGAGGGCAACATCTAATCGTTTTTTGAAAACATCCAGGGTAGGAGAGGATACTACTGAGTCTGAGAGTGCGTTCCATGGTTTGCAAACTCGAAGGGAAAAGTAATTCCGTCGTCACTCTAGACGGCTATATTGTTCCTTCAACTTTAAGCAGTTACCCCTGAGCTGCGTGTTGTGGCTAAGTTTCAGCAAATGGCGGCATACGTGGTTGGGGTCACTCAATATTTGATACGCTAATATGAGATCGCCTCGCAGCCTTCGATAGCGTCCGCTGAAAATTCCCAACAACTTCAGCCTTCGGTGGTAAGAGTGATACCGCAGGCCCATCACGTTCTTGGTTGCTCTCCGTTGTGGTGCCTCTATCGCTTCTAGGTCGCGTTTCAACCAAGGTTGCCAAGCTTGGATTGCGTACTCAACTTGCGGGCGCACGTAGGAATTGAGCATCATTGGGAAGATTGATGGGTCAAATCTCCCGAATGCCCTTCGCAGCATGCCGACGTGCTGGTTACCTCTTTTCGCAGCTACCTCAGCCTGTTTTGAACAGTTGAGGTCGCTCTGTACGATCACACCAAGATCACGTTCTTGGGAGCTATTCTGCAATTCCTTTGTCCCAAGCATGTAGGTGTAGTTATGTCTATGGCGTAATTGTACTACGCGAAATTTGTCTACGTTGAACGGTAGAGCGTTTTGAACTGACCAGTTCGACACTGTGTTAAGATCGTCCTGGAGCCGTTCATGGTCATCCGGTCCTCTGATCCTTCGCCATATCTTGATATCATCAGCGAAAAATAAGAAATCGGAAGTAATTGATCTCGCCAAATCGTTAATGAACACCTAGAATAGACGAGGTCCAAGAACCGAGCCTTGTGGTACTCCACACGTCACGTCGATTGCATGAAAAAATGATTCTCGGACTCTCACCACTAGCCGTCGTTCTTGTAGAAAATTGCTAATCCAATTCAGGATTGGATCGCCAATGCCGTAGTTCCGAAGCTTCTGAAGAAGAACTCCATGGTCTAAACGATCAAATGCTTTTGAAAAGTCCAGGTAGATGACATCGACCCCTACTCCATCATCAACAGCTTCAGTCCAGCTATTTCGTGCAATTAATAGGTTAGTGTTACACGGATGCTTTTGACGAAAGCCATGTTGCTCTGGGGCTATTAAATTGTGGCTTTCCAGGTATTGCATCAGCGCGTCTGCGACGATTGATTCCATCACTTTGGATAGTACGGGAAGTAATGTTATTGGACGGTAGTTCGCAGGATCAGTGCGGCTGCCTCCTTTATGGATGGGAGTGATGACCCCTTGCTTCCATATTGGTGGAATAAGGTTTTCCTCTAGACATCGCTGATAGAAAACAGCCAGTGGTGCTGCTAGATCACTAGCTACTGCCTGTAGAGCCTTTGGACGGATGTTATCAGCTCCGGGAGAACTGTGGATACGCAAGGATAACAATTTCTTCAACACAGCCTCCGTAGTGAAGGTGATGTTTTCTAAACCAAACGGCGGAGTATTAGAAATGAGGTGAATGTTTGGGCTCGACACTTGTTGGAACGTTTGAGAGTAATGAAGCCGTAGGAGATCAGCTGCTTCCATTGCTGACCGCGTGTATCCATCAGCTGTGACTAGCGCCGGAACCCCTCGCTTTACCTTTCGAAGGCCGTTAATGTGCCTATACAGGAGTTTGTGGTTAGTGCAGAATCGCTTCATTAACTTCTGCTGATGCGTGACCTTGTCCTCGCGGATCAGTTTCACACAGAAGTTACGATGTGTCACGTATGCAGTCCAGGTTTCGGCATTCGGGCAACCCTGGTGATTTCGCCATGCCAAATCCCTCCGGGACATACATTTAGGTGTTCTGCTCCTCAGAATTGACTTACTCTGGTTTTTGGGTTGGAAGGACTTCTGTTCCGATGCTTGCGCTACCAGTGTGCTCAAAGTCCTTGTAAACATATCCCAGGCCAAATCTGGGGGGCATTCGAATAAGAAAGTCCAAGATGTATCCTTAACAAGCTTGGACAACACATTGTAGTGCGTGACAGTGTGCACTTTATCCTCCTCCTTTTCCGGGTACTCGGCATAGCATATATAATCAAAGAGTAGAGTGACATGATCACTACGACCCAGTGGTGTGCTTGTAACTATCCCGCCAACCATGAGTTCTTCGTTAGTTAGCACAAGATCTAGTATCGACGGCTTGTTAGAAGTTCGAAATCTGGTGGGAGAGGTTACGTGGTTGTAAAGAGGGTGGATAGCAATAAGTTCTTGCAAACAGGCTTTAAACTGCGTACCGTCAGTTGCCGGCGTTTCTATGTCGTGCACGTTAAAGTCTCCCGCGATAAGAATGTGGGTGTAGGACTTGTTCAAAGCAAACTGAAAAACGTGGTACAGTTTGGAGTCCATTTCCGACGTTGAGTTTGGCGGGCGATAAACCACGGCTAGTAGACATGTGTCCTTGTTTCGCAACCAAAGGCGGCACCAAAGCGAATCGGGAGCTCGGATTTCTGGGTGATCGATAACTTCACATCGGAGGCTTGTATTATAGTAAAGAATCACACCGCCACCCATTCCGGTTCTATCGGTCCGAAGCAGCGACATACCGGGTAACTTGATCTCACAGTCGGTTATCTCAGGGTTTAACCATGTCTCTGTAATCATGACGAGGTCTCGTGGTTGTGAGGCATGGAGTTCTCTAAGTTCGGCCAACTTGCTTCGAAGGCCTTGAGCGTTTGTGTACATGCAAGATAGGGCTTTTGTGGTTAGGAGTTCATTGGTGGATGTCAAGTTTGTGTTCGCTTTTAAGCCGGCCGTTAGGTGGCCGGCAATTAATCGTTTTTTGGTTCGTGTATTTCAGTCGTGTTACATGACATTATTGAGCGTTCCTGAACTGATGGTTCACTCGTGCTGTGCTCGGTCCTCCTGTGTGACGTGGACGCTGTTGTGTCGATCTCTCCGAAGGACTGTGCAAATAAAGAATTTGCAGGGTTTGCAAGTTCCATCGAATTTCTTCCGACTTTTGGTCGTTCGCCTGCTGCCTTTAGCCGTATTTCTGTCGGCAACCTAGCTCGAAACTTTAACCAGCTATCCAAAAGAACTTGCGTCATTTTGTTGCAGACGTTTCAATGCCAAACAAGGTAACATCCTCCGTGCGTCTATTAGGGTCTGATTCGCAGAGCCTCGTAAGCCACTGCCAGATCCAAGTGAATATTGATCGGTTCCTGCTTTGAATGTCAGTCTTCGATTCGTTCACGTGGGTCGGTCAAGTGGTCGCACCTTCGCCCTGTCGATCTGGTATTTATTGTTGTCATCACATGCAGAACTTCGTAGACACCCTCTAGTTCCAGGTGCTGGTTGATTGAGTTCCGGCCCGAATGCCAGGCTTCGATGAACTAACGCGCTCTGCGGTTCTTCGCTCTTCCAAGTATATTAGCCTTTTTCAGATCGAACTGATGGCCTTGGACATCCATATGTACTGATATTAGTGACTTTTCATCATGGCGGCGGATGGCCAGACTGTGTTCATACAGTCTTGTACCAAGTTTCTTCCCTGTCTGGCCAACGTAGTACTTTTCGCATTGTTTGCAGCAAATTTTGTAAATCACACCTGATGTTTCTTCTTTACTCAGCTGGTCTTTTCCCATAAAATGTTTACTCCGAACGGTTTCCGTTGCTTCATATGCAGTGTTGATCCCGTGAGGCAGTAAAAGCCTCGCTGCCATTTCAGAGATCCCATGGATATAAGGTAGGACGATGGTTTTCCTTTCCATTGCGCTGGTGGAATGGCGTTGTGTTTCATTCTTCGACATCAGGCAGCGTAGAATAAAACTTTTAGGGTACGAATTCCGCTGAAACATGTTAAATAGGTGGCCTTCCTCCGCTTTCCTCAG